TTCAAATGAATTATCCTAATTATTAATGTAAAGCGCATAGAGGTTAGTCTACAATATGCGCTATATATGTCGACAATTATTATTTATTATTATTATTATTATTGGCTGAAAAAATACAAGAAGGTTGACAAAGATACAAATATAAATAAAAATTTAACAACTTGCTAATACAATAAGGGATTGGTATAACATGTACGCCCATTATCTGGTACAGTACATCAAATTTTGAATGGAAAGCTAATAAATTACATTTATTAAAATTAAAATTCCAATATTTAATTCTATTTATTGTTTCTAGCTCATCTTTGGCAGAACAGTATCCCTCTTAGTCCTGATTCTGAGATTCTAACCATGGAATAAGTCATCTCTGATCTTTCGAAGTCCCCTTCGAAAATCTTTGCATGACGTACAGTAGATAAATGGATTAAAAGTAAGATTTAAATCCATTAACAGTACACTGATCTCCTGAAATATTAAATTAAAATTACCACTTCCTATGAAGTAAATAAATGTACAAACATAGCCTGGAATTGTTGTAACAATATAAACAAATGCAATTAAAATAAGTGTCGTCAATAGATCTGACTTGACTCCTTCAACTTGTCCGCCATTTCTGGGTTGAAATTCAGTAGAAAGTTCATGGCTAACTATTCGTATCTTGTGTAACTTTAACAGCATCTTCACGTAACAATACAGCATAATGCAAATGGGTACCAGGAACTGAACCGTAATTAATAATATACCACCAACTGTACTCATTCCCTGTACCATACACATTTTCACGTCGGTTTGTACATCCGCATATATAGGAACAAATATTGTTAAAATTATACCGCATACATGCGGGCTTATAAGCGAAAGGTATGTAATTTTTCCACCCACGGATTTCTGCCGATACAGTAGTGGATGGATGATAGCAATGTACCTTTCAACTGTAAGCATAACAAAATTGAAAGTTGATGTTACTACCATGTAGTGGAAGAAAAATTGCATTTTACAGAATATTGTTCCAGCAGTGCCATCGGGAACCTTAATGTTGAAGAAGATCAAAAACATCAGAGAGCCAATCAAATCAATCACAGTCTGATGGAGAAATAATTTGAACGAGAGAGACTTCTTGTAAGTCCTGTTGTAGACGAATACAAATATGCCGATGGAGTTTGCAATAATGCCAATACTACCAATTATGCAACGAGCTATGACCAGCACCAAGGGAACGTCCTGTGGTAAGCCAGTTTCATTTCTATGTACACCATCCATACTTTCAAGTAGAAGACTATTTGAGAAATGTTTTTCAGAAACAGTTGCACTTAGCAGTAGAGTAAAAATATCTTTAATGCTGTTCTTTTATATCTCCTTACAGAAATAAAGTAAATACTTAAATCCTCCTGCACCACAAGTTACCTAGACCCGTGCAGTGACACGCAAACAGATTTAAACGCCAACATTCAATTTGGTAATATAGAGCGATTCATGTTTGCATTTTTAGTTGTCTTGACGACTGAGAATTGATATTTATTAAGATTACAATATTTATAATTTATTAATAAATGGCATTTATAAGGTGCATTTCCAAAAAGATCAAAGGGCCAGTACATAATTTAAAAGTTAATTTGATAGGCATAATATATTTTGTAAGATTAATTTATTAATTATTCATTAATTTATCAAGTATTCATAGACTAAAATGGGACCGACCGTAATCATTTTATGACAGAATCTTTGCTTTTTTAACATTGATCAATAAATGTGTCAGTGTGCTTATTCATGTACGTAAAAGTTTATTACTGTTCTCTAACGACTACCGACATGTTCACAAGGCAGTCAGGATTGATAAGCAATAAACAGAATGGGAATAGGTGGTTACTATAGGCACAAAACAATGACAAAGTAGCAGATGATTAATGCAGTAGTGTTTGATAAATTTAAATTTGCTTTAAAAACAACTATCTGCACACGGTCACAACTGAATATTTTACATGAACATTTTTCTCCATTCACACAGTGTGTTACTTAAGTAATCTGACAACATTGATCAAATCTTTAAATATTTTTATATTAATATTAAATCAAAATTGGTTAGGCTATTTGCAAAATTACTTGGCTAATTTTCATATTGAGTGTGACTGTAATGTCATGATTTTGTAACTAATTATACAAACCATGTACTTTGGCATGATCAGCTACCATCGTCTTTAAAAAAAATCCTTTTGATACGTCTTTATGTAGAATGCTGATAATTATCTTGCCCATGCGCATTCCATGACTTTGCTTGTACTGTATGACCAGTGGCACTAAACTTTGTGCTTACATTACTCCTAACATTAAAGACTTTCACTAGTTACCCATTCAAAACAGATGTTCCTTTAAAAATCTTCTTGTCTACATGCATTTACGGCTTTGCTCCTTACAATAGCTCAGCACTCTCTGCACCTGACATGACTTCATGAAGAACGTAGTGCCATGATGTGCGCACGACAGATAATTTTTAATGATTATCGTTCGGAGTACGATTCACCATCAGCAGACAGCGTCGACAATTTTTGAATACCATTCTGTGGCAAAACAATGTATCTTCATCGTAGATACGTTGTTTTGCCGTGTATTCTTGTAGTTACGTTGTTTTACCAAGGAAAATCACTAGGTTTTAAGTTTTGTGCTTAAAGATAGGTGTTGCTATCTCCAAAATGATTCATTATTGAGACCTGAAATTTTCACAGGTCGTTCAGACATGTTTAATATACTCCCAAATGATATTATCCCAAAATTGACAAAAAATGTCAGTTACGTTGTTTTGCCTTGGGACGGCCGCAGTGGCCTGACTTCATAAGTTACCATTTTAAATAAATGTTAAATAAACAATAAATTAATCATCAATCATGAAAGCTGAATGCTTTTCGACATAGTATAGTTAACAAATCAAAGCGATCATCAGCATGCATTTTTATTTTACTTTTAGTGTTTTAGTGTTGTGTTGATATTGATTTATGTAGTCCTCTTGGTCATCTGACATTTTTTATTGATTCATACAGAGCTCTGTGTGAGAGCTAAAAAGGGGGTCTAATCAAAACAACACATTAAATTATTATAAAATAATAAAATAATGAAGTAATAAACAATATAAATTTAACTAAGGAAGTAAATTCTATTTGTTGTAAAGCACACAAATGACAAACTTTTGAAAGACTGACTATCACACAAAAATTTCCAAATATTTTAAAAATACTACGAAAATCATGGAACAGCATAATGTACGTTTTTGACATTTCTGAATAAAAAGTATCTTGGATTCTTGTTGGTTTTTTCTGATTAATGAAAGAACTTTTGATACAAAAATTCTGAAACTGATACCAGCCAATTTAAAGTTCCATGACAATGGAAACAGTGCACTTGATACACATGTTAAATGGCAGTTTCACATTTTGAATAGAAAGCTAAATTTCAATAATTAATTAAACTTTCTGCAAAGCCCCGCTTCTTGGCAATTGTTGCTAAAGTCTTACAAAAAAGAGTGTAAAAACATACATGGGTTTGTGCAATAATGCATGTGTTTGTTGGACACGCGCGTATTAATGGCACTGTTCTGATTGTTCAGTTGATAGTTTGATTGACACTCCAGAAAGGTCCAAGATATTTACAGTATTACATGCTACTAGTGCCTAATACTTTAGTTCAATTTCAACCAAAGTTGATCCTTACAACTACGAACCAATGTCATGGTTTTCACAAAAGTCAAATGTCAAAGAATGGTCAAAGGTCAAATAATGGTCAAAGATCAGATATTCAGTACAACTACCGAACAGTAGGGAGCTTTCAATTACACGACGACGATAGGACGTGGAACGTAATGACGTCAGTAAAAGTAATCTGCGCATGCGAGAAATTTAAGGTCACTCGTCGAGTAGATTCTGGAACGCAATTTAGCCATATCTACGTATGCAGAGAACGTAGGACGCCAGGTAGGACGGTCACGCAGGAGTAATTCCGTTCTAGCGTCGCGCCGTCGCACAATTCGAAAGCTCCCTAATTTGATTTGATTTGAGTTTATTTAGCCATCAGAGTAAAATACAATAAGGAAGACAAGACAAGGTAAAACAATACAATTGAATACTCTGAAAACAAGGAATAGCCCAAAAAGGTTTCAAAGAAACGTATTTCCATTGGGATCCTGCGAACGAAACATTCAATGACTAGGTTTGAGCAATTGAGGTGAAAGGTTATTAATAGTCAATGGTCATCTTTTCAACAAGGTCTAATTAAAACATTTTTAGAACAATTCTTGTGACATATCAGTACAGTATGTTTATACAAGTATAGTAATCAAAGTCTATGGCCTCGCAATGATCCTTGTGATATATGAATATTTTTGGAAATATTTTGGAAGTCAAAAGTCAGAGTTCATTGGTCAAAAGTCAATTTTCTACGTTGACTAATATACTTTTCATTTTGTGATAAAATTTTCAATATGAGCTCAAATTTCAAATGACAATCTAAAAATGTTACATATTTTAAATCACTTGAAATATAACAATAGTGTCAAAAGTCAAATGTCAAAGGATAAAGTTTGTTCTCTGTGAGCACTACATTTTCTTGTTCAAGCTGTATATACTAGCTCATCTCCAACAGTATATACTTATACAGCAGGTCTCTTTTAACGCTTCTGGTTTTCTAATTCTGAAATATATCATGTCTGATCTTGCAAAGTCCCAGTTGAAAATCTTTGTATGCCATACAATAGATAAATGGATTTATGATAAGATTTAAATCCAGAAACAACATACTCACCTCATAAAATATTACATTAAAACTATGATATATGAAGTAAATAAACATAAAAACAAAGCCTGGAGTCATTGTAACAATATAAACAAAAGCAATTAAGATGAGTGTTGTCAATAGATCTGACTTGACTCTTTGAACTCTGCCCCCATTCCTTGGTTGAAATTCAGTAGAAAGTTCATGGCTAACTATTCGTGTCTTGTGTAACTTTAACAGCATCTTCACGTAACAATACAGCATAATGCAAATGGGTACTAGGAACTGAAATGTAATTATTAATATACCAGCTACAGCATGCATTTTCTCAGCTGTACACACATTCTCATTTGGATCCATGTCTGCAAATATAGGGATACATATCATTAAAAGTACACCACATACATGAGGGATAATTAGCGATATGTATGTAATTTTCCCACTCAAGGATTTCTGGCGATAAAATAATGGATGGACGATAGCAATGTACCGTTCGACTGTGAGCATAATAAAATTGTAAGTTGATGTTACTACCATGTAGTAGAAGAAAAATTGCAATTTACAGAATATGGTTCCAGCAGTACCATTCTTAGGAGCATCGAAGATGTAGAAGATCAAAAACATCATAGAACCGCCTAAATCAATCACTGTCTGATGCAGAAGTAATTTGAGCGAAAGTGACTTCTTGTAAGTCTTGTTGTAGACGAACACAAATATGACGATAGAGTTTGCAACAATACCAACACTAGCCAATACCCAACGAGCTATGACCAGCACAAGGGGATCTTGCATTTTAATGTGAGCTGTGTCATTCCTAGGTATATCCATACTTTTAAAGTTGCAGGTAATTTACTCTAGAATATTTGTGAAATGTTCGCATATACCCTTAAACTTTTTCCACAATCACGATTCTGTATACACATCTACAACTTTTTTTTAAATCCTACTTTCCTTGTGTTCTATGTCTGTGTGACATTAAGTAATAATTTCAACGAAGCAGAAAAACCACCCATTGTTTTAAATCATTCAAGCCTAGCACTCATCCCTGTCATTCAATGGCATCTTCACAATCACAAGAAGCAATTACTGTAGCTTTCACCTAAAACAAAGAGTGAAGCCAAGAAAGAGCAATAAATGGTAATCAGCCTATTTCATCTAATTCTGCATTATCAATACTGCAATTGATCAGAATGTATTATCAAAGAATGCAAGCTTGATGTTAAGAAACTTTCTCTTTTTAAATGCTGGTTTTGTCAAGCAACTCACGATGACCAGCCTTCTCAACCCTATTGAAAATGTTTGAAGTAAAAAAAAATCATGCTCAAGTAAATTTATGGATGATATTACGCCAATAAGATTATGGAAAGAAGTTGACTCATAAAATTACGACATCTTGAATCTTGGAATTCGCCATAGATGAGGGGAATGGTACAGAGAGTAAATTTAACAGATAGGAAATTTACACTACCTCAGCTCCCACCCTGGTTGGGGCTGAGGTAGGAAATTCTTTAAGTCACTTGTAGGTGGCCGGAAATGACACTGACAGACTCAAAATTTGAATGTAATTATTTTGTTATCCCCCAATACAAGAGAAAACGAGATGTAGGGCCTACATCACCCCCGAGGATTGCCACTATCAAGTGGCTCTCCTATCTTTACACAGAGAATACATTTAAAAACTAATTTAGAAGATTCTATCAGATCGCCAATAAAATATTGGAATAAAGATATAATACCAATTAAAACAATTTACAATGAACGACGTCATGCTTGTCATATGTGTTATTGTCAAGACATGATCACACTATTGTAAAGACAAGAAAAAATTGTTCTAATAATCTAGGTATAATTATAAATTCTATTCCTGTTGTATCAAAGTAAACATAAAAAAATGATTTCTGGGGTGGGAGAAAGTTATTAGGAGGTGAGTCTATTAAGGATGAATCGTTTACAAAATTGGAAAGCAGCTTAAGCACTTTAACAGAAATCCAAGGAAACAGTCAGTTTCAGATTTACTATCATATTGATAACAAATTAAGGATCGTTAACTCTGACGACAACAACATTGACAGACAAAGAGGATGCTACTACTGTGGTTTAGGTAATGGTACAAAACACGTCAATTCTATTAAAATTCAATTCACTGACAATTACCTTAAGAGTGCAACCCAATTGGAACCAATCAAGAAGCAATGATGCTATAATTGCCACATAGGACGGTTACGTCATGCCTGCAAAGAACATCACACCAAAATGCAGAAAATCAAATTAAAAACGTAATCATGGTGTACACTTGTCGATATGCTTCACGGCCAAAAACACGTCGTCTCATGGCCAAATTCAGCCAAACATTTTTTCGATATCTGCCAACATTCAGCCAGATTCTAATCGGATTAGTAGGAGGGTAATAGCGGGTACGTTAATTCAGTTAAAATACAAAAATTACATGGCAATCAGCAGTCATTTGTTTAAAATTGAAAAATAACCTCTGAGGCATTTTGGGAAATAGATCAATTTATTTTTCTTCTATTTTTTATTTATTCTTTTCAACTTTCCAAAAATAGCCTCCCCCACCCCCAAATCCGCCAATGGCACATGGAACACATGAATTCACAAACTAAGAAGCTAACCCAGTCAAGGATTTCCTTCATCAGTCGGATCTATTGGATGCTAGAAGACTGTCTTTGGGATGTAACTGGCATCAGTGGGAGGTATAGAAATGAACTGAACTAATATGCTTTTTCATGTTTCTGTGTGTACTGAGCAATCAAATATAGGCTACTATTGTATTATAAGTTAACTCCCTGAAGTCTTCTGGCCATGGTTACCATCATGCATAGCAAATATGGATGTGTTAATACATCTCATTAAACCAAATCTTACGGAAGTGATTTTTCCAATCTTAGGAACCCTGATTTAAATTTGCTATGGCAGAATCACATGTTTTGGCATGACCATTTACTACTGACTATATACTGCAAACAACAGAAAACCATTTAATCATTTAGAATTTTTTAAAAATGGACAGAATATTAAGAGAATTTTCCAAAGGTTTAACCCTTTGAAGTCGGACCAATTTTCTGTCGCAGGAAGCGCGCTCCGTATACAGTACAGAGTGATGTTTAACACTGCTGCCCTCTATTTAATGAGTCATTTAGGAGATTTCCCTATTGTTGCCGCAACTGGACGTGCAGAAGCATTCAAAATGGCCAAAAGAAAGCAGTCATTTAGCGTCAGTGACGAGCTTACGCTTATTTTAGTAGACGATGACAGTGGGGATGAAAATATCGATCGATATATCGATATCGGTGAAGATATAGATTATTCTGCAGTGAGTCATGACGATTCAGGTGACCTAGGTCAAAAAAGGTCAACAATATTTACATTTGTTGAGACTCATGCGCATGTATTCCATCCAGCAAACAAAACATCATTTGCTAATTTCAAGGGTCATAATTACCCTTTTTCTAACACATTGAAAATACCCAAATGGAGCCCAATATTTACATCAGACTTCGATATAAAAAATATTCATAATAAATATAAAATCATGAAATAGGCAAACACAAATATTTTTTTCCTGTAGAAAACAACATATTCTACATAATATGTAACATTCATGAACATAGGAATTTTTTTCTTGACGTTTACAAATGGTTTTTGGGTAAAAAAAATACCCTTTTTAGGTCCCAGAATTTCAATTTTAGGGCACTTGACCTTTGACATAGGTCAAAAGGTTAAAAAAAATTGCTATTTTTCGGTAGCCTAAAACATATTACACAACAATCAAACCATCATTTATTGAAAGTTGCAGTCATAAAAATGTATTTTACGTTTTTCATAAACCTATTAACAACCCCTTAATGGGACTCAGTGACTTGGGAAAAGTCATTTGGGACTTCAAAGGGTTAATAAAATGTAACAAATTTATTTGTTACATATTCCATATATGAAATTCAACTAGGTTTTGCTGATTTACAGACCTTCCCTAAAAAATTATAAAATTGAAATAAGCCAATTTAAAGGTATACAAAGAATATATAAATGGTATTACTTATTTAAAAAAAAACAATAAAATGAAGATTCAAATTTTAGAAAGGTTAACATCTAATAAAATATTAGTATACAATTCCAATATTTATATTTTCAAATTTTCTTAGCTTACCTCTTACATTATATATTTATTAATGTCCCTTGTAACCGGCTCAATTTTGTGTTTCTAACTCTGGAGTCTGGAATATCGCATCTCTGAGCTTGTGAAGTCCTCTTTGAAAATCCTTACATGCCATACAGTATATAAATGGATTAATGGTAAGATTCAAATCTAGAAACACCACACCCACCTTCATAAATATGTAACTCAAACAACCGCATAAGAAATGCACTAGCATAACAACATGGATTGGAGATACTGTAACAACATAAACACATGCAATTAAGATGAGTGTAGTGATTAGATCTGACTTAAACCGCTGAGCTCCTATTCTGGCACTAGGTTGAAATTCAATTGGAAATCTGTGGTTAACAATTCGTGTCTTGCGTATCTTTATTAGCATCTTCACATAACAGTACAGCATAATGCAAATGGGTAACAGGAACTGACATAGAATTAATAATATACCAACTACAGCATTCATTTCTTTAAGTGTACACTTTTTCTCATTTGAAGACACGTCTGCAAATATAGGCAAACACATCATTATGAGCACACCACATACATGAGGGCTGATGAGTGACAGGTATGTAATTTTCCCACTCAAGGATTTCTGGCGATACAATAATGGATGGACGACAGCAATATACCGTTCGACTGTAAGCAGAACAAAATTGTATGTTGATGTTGCTGACGCGTAGAAGAAGAAAAATTCCATCTTACAGAATATGGTTCCAGCAGTGCCATCAGGAACCTCAATGTTGTATAAGATCAAAAATATCAAAGAGCCAATCAAATCAACCACCGTCTGATGAAGAAGTAATTTGAGCGACAGAGACTTCTTGTAAGTCTTGTTGTAGACAAACACAAATATGACAAATGAGTTAGCAATGATACCAATACTACCAATTACCCATCGAGCTATAACCAGCAGCATGGGTTCTCCAGGAGCTATGTCGTTTGAAGATGTATTCATAGTTTTCTTTTTTACCTTTGGCAAAAGTACTAGATAATATTATGAATATCTTATGTCCGTATCATAGCATAATAGTAATAAATTTGGCAATCGTCAAGAACAATTTTAGCCCAAATTTTGAATAGGCACAAGCCCAAACAGATACTGCACTCACTTGACCATGCATGTGCATAGTTATGAAACAGGATATTCTATCCTGACTATTAACTTGTCGGTGGTTTTTAGAGGGCAGTATCAAACTTGTACATTTTTAATAGTACAAACTATGATGAAGCACTCTAATGCAAATTATTAACAAACACAGTTATTCAAGATATGTACTTGCACACTAAATCCCAATAAAACGAAAATAATTAAATTGGTAAATATTGATGTTATGGCATTTAATGAATACTATTAATATATTGTTGAAAAATTACTAATAGCTCAGATATACATAAATCCTACCACGATTCGTTTTAATACCACATCATAATCAAGAGGCAAACAGGTTAGTTGAAAGAGAACAGCACTGGAGAAAATGTTATTGTATTAATTGCTACATATATTATATACTCTTATGGGGACAATGTTCTGTTCATTGGGGGGGGGGGGGGGGGGGGCTCATGGGGGGGGGGGGAGAGGGGGCGCAGGCCTACTCGCCACCTATGTTACCCTGAACTGAAATTGTATATTCCTTCTTGACCCACTTTAATTTTGGCATAATTTGCATTTGCATTCAAATCTTTTGGTAATTATGGTACCGATACCGTATTTAGCAAATGCACAATAAATTGGGTTTGAGTTGACTTGGGGCCAAGTTGACTTGGGGCCGAGGTGACTTGGGGAATAGCTGACTTGGGGCCGAGTTAACATGGGGCCGTGTTGACTTGGGCCCAAGTTGACATGCTTTCATCGTAATGTCTCCTAACAGTTTGGGCGAGTTGGCTTGCTTGTTGCAACGAAGCTATATAGTTTAGGAGCCGTGTTGCCCTGGGCCAAGTTGCTTTATATTATGATTATGGGAAATCCTCAGCCTAGCAAAGTTAACAAAAAATCCACAGATTGAAATCAATCATCAACCAGTAGATGCCTCAAAACATTATAGTGAAGCTATAATTTCCAAAATTTTGGATGAATAAAGATATTATCGATGGTATATTATTTTGACACAGTGCGGCAGTAACCATGTCATAGTCGGTTTTCTGTTTGATATCTCTTTTTTGCGCTGAAAATTTGTTAATAAAATATGCTGTGTATTGTCAAGAGTCGGCATTAAATGGTGAAGTAGCCTATTCTGAAAGTGGTTGTCCGCGGAAAAGTGGTCCCCAAAAATTCTTGTCAGACCTAAAAAACACCCGGGCGTCGGGCAAGTGGGTTCGCTCATGCCTGCCATCATGCACAGCAAAATACAATACGTTGAAAAAAGTGGCTTCTCCCATCTTCCGTTCAAAATAACTTCCCTTCCGACCCTTGAGCAATTTAAAGCAACAATTCAACCTAATTATGAATAAACACAACAGAACCCTATGGCATCATGTATCAATTTGATCTACCTATGTGTTTCACAATGAAGATGAAGACTTAAGAATTTTTTTGTAAATGGACAGAACAACAAAGAATCTTTTAGAGTTTAATAAATGTAACCAAATTACTTTTATTCTTTTTTATTTTTCAAACAAATGCAAAGGTATATTCATTATAGTTTTCTTTTTCTATCTTCGGCAAAGCATTTGATAAATTACACAGTATTTATCAAATGTTTGTTATATAAAGGAACAATTTCTTCAGTACTCTTCTCTAACACACTTTTGTCTCTTGATTATGATGTGGGAAATGAATCATGGTATAGGATTTATATCTATATTTGAGCTATCAGAAATTTTCAACAATAGATTAATAGTATTATTCATTAAATGTCGTAATTTCCACATTCAATTTAATTAATTTTTTTATTGGGATTAATTTATCAATTATTGGTGGACAAGTACATCACATTGTAACATAGAATAATTGTGTTTATTAATAACTTGCATCGGAGTGCTTCATCATAGTTTGTACTTTTAAAAATGTACAAGTTGGATACTGCCCTCAAACAACCACTGACAAGTTAATAGTCAGGATAAAACATCCTGTTATATCTTAACTATGTGCATGCTACGATACTTAACATCTTATGGGGACACTGTCCTCAATTCAAATTGTGTATTTTTAATGACATATAATAAATAAAAATGGTTACACAGCAGTCACAAGTCGCTTGGAAACTAACAAAAATTTCCTGAAAATTAATACATCTCTGCAAATTCTAGAGGTTTGCATTTTTCTACTACTGTATTATTATTGTCCCCCCTTGAAGTCATCTGACATCATGGTTACTATCATGCACCGCAAAATACAATATAGATGTGTTAATAAATCTCATTAAAACAAATCTTGCGGAAGTGGCTTCTCCCAAACTTCTATTGCAATCTCTAACTTTTCTTCCAACTCTTAAGCAATTTACATCCGCAATTCAACCTAATTACGAGCAAACACACGACTGCACCCCATAGCATCATGGATAATTGACCTGTTGATGTGATTCACAATGACCATTAAAATGAAGACTAGGGACCCTTGGGTGAAAGTATGCTATAGCAAAATTATATAGGTTTGAAGAAACCAATCATCTACAACTGACCATGGTTATATATCCTCCATGAACTGACTATATGTTGTTCTACAAATTTAATGGACAAATTACCGTAGATGACAAATTACTGTAGATGAGGATTATGAGTTTTGTAATGAGTGTGACAATATTTTGAATTAATTATTAACACCAAGTGATGAATAAAAGCGTGCTTACAGTGATAGCAAACTATTTAATTATTTCAAATTTTTAAAAAACTGGCAGAATATCAAAAGAAAATTTTATAGAGTTTAATAAATGTAACAAAAATATGTTTTATGTCTATGAAATTCAAAAAGGTTCTGTTGATTTACAGACCGTCACTAAAAAAAATTCTTAAATTGGTTATAAGCCAAATAAACGATATATATACAAAAAATATAGAAATGGTTATAAACATCTGACTGATGATTCACATTTTAGAAAAGGTATAAGCTTCTTTAAAATATTACGGTATGTACAAGAAGTAAATTGAAAAACACTTTAGTCTTACCACAATGGCGAAGTGATTTTGGAAAAAGAATATTTAAATATCGTTCTGTTAAGTTATTGGAGAATCTATCATCAGACCTTCGTAGCAATATTCATTCACTTTCCTTACAATCCTTAAAAAATCTCATTTAATTTCCCATTTTGTTTTTTTTCTTTTCTGTTTCTTGTATTTATATATTATCTATATATGTGTTATTCAGTACACAATAGTGTGTAATGTATTACAGAGAACTGTATATCATGATCGCTCAAGATTGACCCTATGATTAGTTCTTATCAACAAACAGATAATACCCTGGACCTCAGGGAAGAACAGTGTAACAATACTGACTGAGTATCCAGAATAAAGAAAGATTTCTATCTATACCATTAGGATGTGACTGAGTTTAAGTACAGAAGCTATGAATATTACTCCACATTCATACTATTTATATTAGAATACAATTCTAATATGTATTTCAAGTTTTCTGCTCATCTCTAGTTAATCTCCGGCAGTATATACTTAATGTCTCTCTGATTAGACATTTTTAGAAAAGCACTGAAAACGCATTTATTCATCCTAAATTATAATCAATAACTTGTTACTGCTGCACATTTTTTAAATTTTGTAATAAAAAAAATATAACTGGTAATTTAATTGAAGCTTGATGGTTTTAAATATAGCTCAATTTTTAATAAAATATTTTAATCAATAATAATGATATAGTTTTAAATTGTTTTATTTCAATTTTTAATGTATCAATATATTGCTTCCGAAATATTAAATGTATGCCTCAATTTGAGATATTGTGCAAATTTTAGATTTTTATAACTGCTTTATACAATATTGTCGGTTAATTAATACTGGATCCTTTTTTCTGTATCATTTTACAAATATTATTGTAATTAATGTATGAATTTTGATATTCTCAATTGTTTATATTTTGACTTTGACGAAATAAGAACATTCTGTTTGTGTAATGTACTGTACGTACAGCGCATACATAAACAGAACCAAGTAACATTTACATAACAACAGCTGTAAAGTTTGATTGGGTGCCATATTGCCAAGAAAGTAAACAAAAAGTCAACCGTCAATATTATGCCATTCTTTTGGACCCTTTCAGACAGAAAAGCATTAGATTGCGATAACAAAGGCGCTGCGTGAAAGATTATAGACCGGCTGTGGCGTAACTAGGTTGTGAGAAGCCCTGGTTCAAGAGTACAGTCGGGGCCCTTGATGCATTCAAATTGACTGACCTTGTCAACTAAGATAGATGTGTACCACTCACTGATGTGGTTTAAAGCAGGGATCCTTCTGATATTTTATACTATTTTGACAATAAATCTTTCAATTTTTTAATTTTTAATTTTCAGATGTTCTCAGAGGGCATCTTTGAAGAGCCAGATATTGGCTGGACTAACCCTAATCAGGGCGGATCCAGAGATTCCCGAAAGTGGGGACCGAAAGTGGCCGATCGAGACAACACTTCCCTAGCGGGTCCGGGGGCATGCCACTGTGAATTTTACTTTCTAGATGCCTGAAGATAACCTCTGAGGCGTTTTTGGGCGATCGATTATTTTCAATCAATTTATATTCTTTTTTTTTCTTTTTTTCTTACTTTCACTGATAACAATAAGCATTTTTAATTCTTATGACAAAAAAAAGAACATTTGATATTTACTGAATTGGTGTATTTTATTTATCGGATTAACCACTGAACAATGTCAACAGTTATCTTGTATATTTAGTTTTATATACTTAAGCTAAATAAAATTAAAAGGATCACACCTGACATCATTAGACTTATGCATGACCGTGTTCATGTACAACACTTATCCAATAAACATGGCAGTCCAAGGCCAACACTATGTA